GTCTGCTAGAAGTACCATCACCAGCAGCCATGATTCTGTGTACGATGAGCTTCTCAAAGCCATGGTGGTAGATGAATGTGATGATCTTCCTGATCTTCCTGCTCTCTTTGGCTGACATTTTTTCTACCTACTTCGTTACCATTGCATCGTGTACCACTACCTAGTTCTCCACTTACAGTTATCATTTTGCCCTCTTGCCGCTGTGTTGTTGCTCCTCTCCGTCTTTTGCTCCTATCTGTGAACTCAAACTCAAACTTGAACTCGTCATCAATGATCATGCTGCCTCCACGTCTTCAAATCTGTTCTTGAGGTTGCAAAACTTAATATGTCTCTTACAAAATGTCTTCCAGAGCATATTCTCCCTCACTTGTATTATTTCGAGCTAGTTGAACAAAGATATATTATTTGAAGTGCAGAGCCGGCTTAAGCTCTTAACTAGCCTTTAACCGCGGCTACTTGAACTAGGCCGAGCCCATATATTACATAAGCCAAAACCACGTGCCCAGCTCTGTTAAACATAACTCTCACCACAGCTATAACCGGCAATAAACCGGAGCCGAGGCAACACTAGCCTCGAGGACATCAACAAGCTCTCCGAACACCTCAGCATCATGTGGGACAAGGACAAAGACCAGCCATCCGCGCTCTCCACACCAGAACCATGTCGTTGAGCCCGGAAAAAGTATCTAAGTACCTGCTGGCCATCCACAAGTGGCGCCACAGAGCAGTTCACGTCCTTCAAGACGTTCACAAGCTTTACGGCAAGCTTTTACATGTGTGCCAAGTTGTGCGGAAGGGGCGTGCATACCTGACGTCGTTAGAAGGTATGTTAAGTACCTGCAGCAAGAAGCCGCACCTTCCACACCGCCCCGCCAAGGACATTGAGGAAGATCTCATCTGGTGGTCGAGCCTGCTACAAAATGGAGGCGTTTTGACACCCATATTTCCCCCACCCGCGTACCAAAACCCCCAAGCCTTCTCAGATGCCAGTTCGAGCATAGGCATCGGCATTGTCATCGGCAATCATTGGAGGGCCTGGAGACTTGTTCCCGGTTGGCAGACCCTCAATGGAAAGCGCAACATCGGCTGGGCAGAAGCTGTCGGCTTTGAACTGCTCGTCAGAACTCTTGTTGCTATCCCCAGCATGGGCAATTCACTCACAGTACATGGCAACAATACCGGGGTTGTTGAAGGTTGTGGAAAGGCCAGCATCGAAACCGAGAAGTCAACACTGTTTTTCGCCACATACACGAGCTTGTTCAATGCTCACCCCAGCATTGCACATTCCGCACTGTCTACATCACCAGCGAGCAAAACCCCGCTGATGGCCCCTCTAGGGGAATCTACCCCCACAGAGAGCTTCTTCTCCCTCCAATTGACATTCCCATCGCCATTTGACAATTCATTGTCGATGCAACTGACCCCCCAACAGCTACAGAACTCCACATCCTACACAATGGGTGTTACCCCCTCCAGCTGCCAAAGTTCTCAACCGCTGTGGGTGAGGAAATAGGAATGCAAACTCCGGAGAGTCACAAGAATATCTACCTCGAGAGGCGAGCTAGTAGAATCGTCCCTTAGGGGATGCTACTGAGTCAATCTCTCAAAATGATGAGAGGGATCAAGAGAAAGGCTCAAGTCGGAAGGTGCGCGAAGGCGCGCGGGAACGCGCGAGGCTGATGTGATGAACGCGCGGAAAGCGCGAGCCGTGCGGAAGGGTGCGGAAAGCGCGCGGTACGTGCGCGATGGGAGAAGAGTTGCAGAGGATCGTAGGAGCTCTCTTTGGATGAGGAACGAGACTTCACAAGACAAAGAAGATGATAGACAATGACAGCAATGATATTAGCGCTCTAAGCGCGAGTAGACAGGAAACTGATAGTGAGTCCAAGTAAGGGAAAAGTAAGTAAGTCCGAAATCCTCTGAGTCTTCTAGATATGTAGGTCGCTACGCGAGCTCTCAGGGTATTGAGACGTAAGGGAAGCGGATAGGCTGCGCGGAAGCGCGCAAGGAAGCGGATAAGTATGTAACACTATGTAAAAGACCCTGGATGTGGTCAGAGACGGAGATGACAGTGAGAGTACGCACCAACGGTACCGGATAGACAGGACAGGACATGGGAGGGTATGCCGAGGATAGCGCCGGTCTGCGGAAGGGCGCGGAAGGTTGCGTGCGTCGCGGAAGAGCGCGGAAGGTCGCGCGTGTTGCGCGCGACTCTATTGGACTGCGCATACATGAGGATAGTGATGAGGTCGATGTATATATCAGGGGATACGAGCCTGTAGGGATATTACTCCCTACACCTGCGGGGTACTCTTAAACTGACTGTCCGCAGTCAGTCCTCTAGACGCGGAATGGACTTAGCGAAATTTCTGACGATTATGTCACGTGCGTGCCGGTATCGGCGAGTGTGTGTGTGCCGGCGCCGGAAAAGCACGAGTCACGTGTGTGGACGCGTCGTGGCTTTGTTTTCTATATCGGGAATTCGGCGCTTGAAAAAGTGAGTGGACGCGTGCTTCCGTTTCTTCTTCTTCTTCTTCTTATCCATCTACATCACGCGTTGTTCTGCCCATCTATACTCTCTTCTATACCATGGCGCCTTTCTTATTCGACTCGCTTGCCGACTCGCCGCCGCCGTCGCGTGCTGCGTCTCCTGTCGTCGCGTCTCCTGCTCAGGAACCTGAGCCGATCGAAACCGAGGCCGACGTTCTTCGTCGCGAATGGACCGCGCTTCGCGAAGTCTTGGACACGCTCGTTCGCGTAATGCCGGATGATAAAGAGGAGTTGATGGAGGATCAGGAGACCTGGATGCGAAGTTGGAATGGGTTTATGGTGAGTGTCCTCGGTCTCTTCGCCTTGTGTGGTTGATGCTGATTATCGTAGACTCGTGTTATGGCTGCCGGCGACACTGCCCGGCATTTGCAGGTCGAGCTCGATCTCGACGATGAGGAGCACGTCTTGATGACGGCTGGCCGCAAGGCCTACAAGAATTTCGAAGGCGCGATCCGCCTTATCAAGGAGAAGGCCGCTGCTCAAGCGGAAGAAGTTGTGACTGCGCGGCCTCCTGCCGCGCAGAAGAAGAAGATGGAGGTGTTGGTTCCGTCCTCCAAGAAGGCGGGTGCACAGACTGATATGGGTGCTCCGGTGCGTAGTGTCCGTTTTCGGGTTGGTGCGGATTCTGACTTGGCGCGATTTTCACATCAGTTGCCTACCGAGCGCATGACTGGTCGGGCGCCTTTGGGAGAGAAGTGTGAGCGGTGCACCAAGTTGGGTAGGGAGTGTGATGGCAGCCCCGGCGTGCGCTGTGATACTTGCGCGAAGGCGCACCAGCAATGCTCTTTCAAGAGAGGTAAGTTGTTTTGTTTCCGCGTACCGTTTCCTATGTTAACGAGTTTCCTTAGGAGCTGCAAGGGCGCCCCCTAAGCGTCGCGTTCAGAAGGCTGCACCCGCGTCCTCGCGTGCGCCTACCGCAGAGTCTGGTCCTCGCACCGCGTCTTCGCGTCAGGAGGTGATGGAGCTTGATAGCGGGAATGAGTTGGGGTTGGAGTCCGAGGAGATGTCAGTTCCTGAGCCCGTTCCTGCTCCGGGCCTCTCTGCCTTGCCTGCTAGGCCGACCAGGGCTATCAACCCTATCCTTTCCGGCCCTAAGAAGCGTCGCGCGGAGGAGTCCTTGGATCGATATGAGGAAGGTGGGGAGTTGGAGCGTCTGCGCTCTGAGAATGCGCGTCTCCGCGAGCTTCTTCGCCGCGTTGGAGAGCGTTCCCGCATCCAGCAGGCTGAGATGGCTGCACAGAGCAGCCGGTTATATTCTATGTCGCGGGAGTGGAAGGAGGATGAGGAACTGGCGGAGTTCCTTTAGATACTTGATAGCATAATGCGCGGTTCTTCCGCTTGTGGACTCTGGATTCATAGCGCCAATGCGCTTGTACTATACTTGATTGCTGAATTGGTGCCAAAGCGCGCCTGTACTATAGATTTGACTCTGTTTCCCTGCGCATACGCGCATAATAGATATCCGTGTCCCCCATGTCCGTGTCTGAGTTTGAGTCCGGTCCGCTGGGCCTAAGGATGAGATAAGAGAAAAATTTAAGTATTTGAACGCATGGAACATAGAGAAAACTTGGAACTGGCGGCGGGTTTGTGCGAGGTTCGCGCTCGGCTTGCGTTCATCGGCGGACTGTCGGCTTCTATTCCTTCCTTGGGTTGCCACGCTCTAATGATTAGCGGCAGGATATATATTAAAATGTGCGCGGCGCGGGCGTGCGTTAGAAGGGGAAATGTCTATGGTTGATTATGCGCGCATTAGATTCATAGTATGTACTTATCTGATTTGTTATGTTCTTGTTGCGGGGATTGTGCGGAATGTATATAGGGTCTGCGGAAGATATGTTCAGCGCGGCGCGCGGTATTATGAGTCTGGAAAGGAGAAACTGAGAGCGCCGGTCGAAACCCGGGGTAAAACTGAGAGAGGGAAATAGATGCGGGGTGTTTTTGTTATTTTCTTCTATGGCGGTATTCGTTGTTTTCGATGTCTTTATTATATTTTCTGGAGGGCATTCTTGCGGAGCGGTTATATACGGGAAGAGGGTCGGGAATAATTGCGGAGGGGGTGATGGGAGCGCGTTATTCGCCGAAGTCGCGTTCGGGGTCTTCTTCTTCTGGCTCATCGTCATCTTCTGCGGCTAAGTGATCCAGGCCTTCATCGTCAAGGCCCGTGATGGCCGTCACAGCTATGCGCTCATCGTTGCGCGGGAAATATGGTATTACGCGGAATGCCGCGTATCGGAGTCGCGAGACCGCGCCGTCCAACTCAGCCAATAAATACGATCCGCCGGTCGTCCGGCGAAGGACAACCATTGGACCTAAGTACCGTGGCTTCGTCTTTTTGCTCAGCTCATACTCGACTTTTGAGTTGCGGACTAGAACCAGACTTCCTGTTGGAAAGTCGTGATCCTTGATTGATGCGCGGAAGCGCTGTTCGAAGTCGCGAACAGACTTGTACCTCGCGTTCAGGACAGCGCCTTTAATCGCGTCTAGGTCCTGCACGCGCTTCTGTAATTGGCGCGCGCGCCATGCGATAAGATCTGCGGAGGTTAGCGCGCCCCTGCTTGGGAGTGGTACGAGGAAAGTAGCTTCTGCGAGGTCAAAAGGAAAAATCGGCTCCATGCCGTGAACCATGAAATATGGCGACAAGCCTGTAGACTTCTGGATGCTGACGCGCTCTGCCCAAAATGCGGCGTGCGCGATCTGCGGCCACTGCGTTAGATCGTGCTGGCAACCTTTTATGATCGCTTCGCGAACTTCAAGGTGCCGCCGCTCGATGATACCGTTAGCTTGAGAATTATAAGGGGAGATGCGGATCGTGTGAATCCCATACTTTTCCGCGAGTAAGTCGACGGCGGCGATAAACGCGGGGCCATTGTCGGTTACAATCTCGGTGATGGGCCCCCATCTGCAGAGGAGTTCTTCGAATATAAACGCGGACAACGTCTTCGCGGTTTCCCTACGTAGCATGCGCCACTCAGGGTACGCAGTAAGTGCGCATCGCGCGTGCACTATACGATCGAATCCGCCCGCTTTGGGCATCATCATGCAGTCGATGTGTACCTTGCGGAACAAGCCGCCCGGGATGGGTACAATAGGCGGAATGTGTAGGCGGGTGTTCTGGCGTACTTGACATTCGTGGCAAGTCTTCGCGTACCATTTGATGTCTTCGACTATCATCGGCCACCAGAAGCGCAAGAGGAGGCGCGTACGGATGGTATAAATACCCTTGTGCCCGAGGTCGTCGTGCGCTTCTTTGAGAATTCGATAGCGCCGCTCTCCTCTTACTACTAGCTGGTGCCGGCCATGTGATTCTCTGCGCCATAGGTTATCTTCCATGACGAAAAATTTTGCCGCGGAATTGACGAAGGTGTCGAAGTCGTCGTCCGAGAGATCCGCGGGTCTCTCGCGACTTTCTAGGAAGCGCTGATACTCGCGCATCTTCTCGTCCATGGCTTGCGCTGCGTCAGAACGAGGTATAGGGGGCTCATCGGGTTGAGCGGAGATAGTATCTAAGAAAATTAGGAGTGCGGGAGTTCGGTTAGTGACTTGCGCGTCGCGCCTGGTGTACGGGTCGCGGGTGTATGATGTGCCAGCGGCTTCAATCATATGAGTTCGATCATTAATAAGCGCTACTCCAAAGGAGTACGCGCGGTCGAGCCAGTCCTCGTGATCGTCTTCCTCGTCTGGGTCTTCGTCTGCGCGCGGTCTCCTTGAGAGACCGTCAACGCCGGCGTGCTTCGTCGCGGAAACGTGGACAAGTTTGAATGAAAATAGTAGAATGCCCGCGATCCATCGATTGATGGTCGCGTTAGGCTGCAAATCCGGATTATTGATCATACCTTTGATATACTTCGCATCAACTTCAACCGTAAGGTTGGTAATGCCGAAGATGTATATGCGCACGGCGCGGAGTGCGCGGAAGAGGCCGTAGAGTTCTAACTTGGCCTGAGAGTAGCGGCTCTCGACCTCGTTAAGCGCGATTGATCCGAAGCGGTTGGGGTAGCGCTTGCCGTCCTCTCCGATTTGGATGAGGAGGTAGCCGACGGCGACGTTCGAAGTATCGACCGCTAGGATGACTTCGCGGCCGCACTCGTAATCGATGCGCCGCAGGGCGGGGGATTCAAGGATGGCGTTTTTCAGCGTTATCATGGTTTCGCGGTGTTCTTCCTCAAATTCGAAGGGGACGTCTTTCCTAGTGAGGTTAATCAGCGGGCGCGCGATGCGCGCGAAATCACGGATGAAAATGCGGAGGACGCCGCAAGTGCCTAAGAACCCTCGCACGTGCGACTGGTTCTTACACTCTGGCCAATCTCGAATCTTTTGGACTTTAGAGTCCTCCGGGATGCGACCGTCGAACGTGCATAAATGCCCGACGATAACTGCGGTCGGCGCGGCTAAAACGAATTTCGAAGCCGACACAGTAGCGCCAACATTCTCAAGACGCTGTAAGATGCGGTTAATGACTTGACAATGCTCCCAGATGAAGCGGCGGATGCCTGGGTTGGCAGGTATAGTCTCGTATGAGCCATCCGCGCTCTGATAGCGCGTCTTCACAGACTTGACAGGTACATCGTCGACGAAAGGCGAGGTATACTCGGGGATCTCATGCTGTAGAATAAAGGCTGTATCGCCCTGATATACCTGGACCGCGTTCGCGTGTCCTTGCGGGAGCGTGGTTAGTCTATGCGGCCCTAAGGGCGTGCCAAACGTAGTCAGATCACGCGACTCCTCATGGAGCGCGCGCTGGTCATAACCGGAGTACAAATCCATCATGCCGTATACCGCGTAGCCCGCGAATGATTCCGCGAGATGTTCTACGAATGGCGGAACAGAGGCGTCGCGAATGGTCACCGCGTTGAGCGGCTGCAGATCGTGAACTAGACGGAGGGATTTCTTGTCCTTTTTGACAACGCAAAACCAGCGCGAGCGGTATGCGGCGGTTGACGGTTCATAAACGCCGGAATCGATTTTCTCCTTGATGATGCGGATTACTTCGCCTAACGTAGATGGCGGAATGGGGATGTTGCGTTGTGACCATGGTGTGTGCGGCACGGTCGGAATTTTGTATGGCGGAAAGTAGGTTTCGTTGAGGCGGCCTCTTTCGGAGGCGCCCCACGCGAATGCTAATTCATGCGCGCGAACGAGCCAGCGGATTAGCTTGAGCTCGTCCTGGCCATAGCCAATTGGCGGGGTCTAAGTCTAGCGCGTCCGCACGCTCTTGCGTAAAGCGGACGCCTGGTATGAAGTCTGGGGGATGGGGTGGTAGTTCTGGCATACCAGCTAATGGATCGGCGGGGAGTTGGCGCACAACTCTATACTCTGGGGGCATAGTAGTTGGCACGGTGCGGACTTTCTTCGCGACTGGCTTATAGACCAGTGCATGACATACGGGATCGTAACTGTAAACTGAATTAAACGCGTCGATGGACGCTTGGTCAAATACGGAGCGGGAAGAAGAGAGAAACGGATAATGCGCGGATTTGCGCTCTGATGCGGAAAATTGGTAAGTAGGAACGGGAACTGCGGCGGATGAGCTCCTTGAGAGCGACATAACGGACGACACATCATGCGCGGGTTGCGCGATTTGTGTGGTAACAGAGGGGAAATGAGAACGGAACGGAATACTGTTGTGCGCGGGGCGCGAAGCGGTAAGACTACGGTTAGTGTCTCCTCGCTTTGAAAACGAATCATCGATCTTTAAAAACCCGTGCCCTCCGGCTTAGCGGGGTGGTCGGAGCAGAATTGCTCCATAGTGCAGCGCACGCAGCGCTTTACCCAGGGCGTCGTCGGGATGCGAATCTCCTTAAAGGAGTTGGGGTCGGTGAGGGTAACATCTTGCTCCCCATTGGGGAGATCTTGCGTGCGGCAGCTCGTCAGCTTAAAGAACGGGCGACCGAGAAGCACTTCGAAGTGCGCGCGTTCGACCACTTGAACTTGGAAGAGCATAGGCCCTGTTCCGAAGTCCAGCGGAACGTTCTCTATCACGCCGAGCGTCGCGTCTTTCGACGTGTTGACGCTCTCCATGCTCAACTGGTAGTCGGAGCGGAGGCCAATGCCAAGCGATTGCCACACCGCCTTCGGCATAACTACTACTTCCGCGCCTTGGTCGAGGACGCAGGAGAGCGCGCGGTTGTTGATGGTAATTGCGCGAATGCAGCGCAACGGTTCGTGATGACTGGCGACTGCTTTACCTTCTTCGTTGCGCTGGACGCAACTTTGATACTGTCGCATATTCGACTCTACCTGCGGCTGACTGATCAGCTCATTGACGGACACGCTCCCGACAGTGACGCGCTTGTTTGCGGTCAGCTCGCGTATTGCCTTGCGGACTTCTGGCGCGATGGCAATCAACTCCCGTATAGGAACATTGATGGTGGAGTCTAGCATGGATGCCGCCACTCGCGAAGGCGCGGCTTCGTCTTCTAATGCGTGCGCGTATCTGTACTGGGATGCGGGAATTGGGTTTGGTTCGTTAGTGGGGACTGGGGTGGATGACGGAACCTTCGGCTTGCTCGCGCTTGCCGAAGGCTTAGGAATAACTGGCGCTACACTGACGCCTTACCTGTATTTGCGGGTGGTGGTGATGACGGTTGCGCCGCAGCTTTGACGGCTGGGGATACGATCTCCTCCGTCTCAACTGACGGCTTTGGTACTGCGCGCGGATAGGATGACTTAGGTACTTCGACCCCGTCGAATCGGACGGTCTTTCCCTTGGCTGCGCGTTTCTCATCGCGCTTCGCGGTTGCAAAGGCAAGAGCGGCGATGCTCCGCCTTACCGCCAATTCGTCTTCGTCCTCTTCGGACTCGGAGTCATGAACGGTATGCAGAAACGCGGAGGGTTCGACCTCTATCACTGCCTCCGTCTGCGGCGCGGCGAGGACATACAAACCAGCTGTCGCGGATGTCTTCGGCTGGCTCGCGGCGATGCGGTCGATGTGGTACTTCATGGTACCTTCTGACTGGCGGCCTGGGATGCGATTGCCGTCTGGCATGACGACTCGGCCGTTCTCATCCATCTTGCACTTGCCGGCGCGGATGTACGCTTCTTTCTCTTGGCATTGGTAGACCCGGTGGTCGGCTCCATCACAGAAGTGGCAATTCCCGAAATTGCGTGGCGGGTAGGAGCGGGGTGCGGGGTACTCTTGCCTCGTTACTGTACCTGGCGCGGGTGATTGTCGTGCGGGCGGGTATTGCGCTTGAGGTGCGCGAGGTGTGGATGTTGTGGCGGCGGCGGGAGCTGCTGGGGTCGTAGCTGGAAGTAAGAACTCAGCAGTGGTTAGTACTGTCTTCCAATCATAAGGGTCATCTGGGTGGTGATCCACCTCCTTGATGAGGAGGCGGTTGCGGATCGACGTCTGAATGTCCCTTGGAAACCCGTCAAGGAACAACTTGTCGCGCTCAGCCTCTGCCAGGCGCTTCTTCGATAGGAGGTACGTGGAGACCTTCAGGAAGTTCCTGTAGTACACCCCGAGCTCTATCTTAGAACGCAGCGGCGTCCTCGACTGCTCGACAGACATGGTCTCTAAATCGGAGCGCGTGTACTTGCGGTCTCCCTCGCACCCGGGATAGATCGCTTTTACCGCCGCGACGAACAGCGTAAAGTCTGAACCCGTCGCCTCAGGTAGGACCTCCCATATCTCTGCCTCCTCTAGGGAGACATAACGCATTGCCGCTGCGATGCGTTGTCCGTCGTTGAGTCCCGCGGCGTCGGATAGCTGCTCAATATCTTCAAAGAAGCGTATGAGGTGTGCCGCTTGACCGCGGAACTTGGGGGCATTCTCTGTACCGCGCAGCGGCATTCTGAAGGTGTTAGTTGACATGGCGGGAATATAAGGGTTAGTGGTAGCAGGCGCGGGTGTTGGGGTAGGAACAGGAATATAAGGCTTATATACCTTAGGAGCTATAGGCGCGTTGAAAGCGACGATAGGGAGCGGGGGCTTCTCTTCTTTGGTCTTCGGCGCTTGTAGTAGCGATGACGCTTTTTCCTTCTTAGGTTCTATGGGGTCTAGGTTGTAGAAGCGCGCTTCTTTGTTGATAGCGAAATCTCTTGCGTCCGGTAGCTGGCGCGGCTGCGGGATAACTGGCGTGGTCTGGCGGGTCGGGTTCTGACTAGCGGTAAGCGAACTAGCGGTCGATGGCGAGTCTGTTTCCTGGAGTCTTGCGTGATAGGGCGATGCGAAATAGGTACCGGGGATGACTTGGCGGGGTTGATCTACTGATTCAAAGTCGTCCGATGATTCTTCTTTCGCGGAGTCTTTAGTAGACGGCGTGATGGGTGATGTCGGCGTGAGATGTAGCGATGCGTCGGATGATCCTTCCGATGGCGTGGTTTCTTTCGTAGATGAGCGGACTGAAACGGATAGTGGCACGGAAGCGGAACGGAGACGCGCGCTTGGGTTAGCGGCGGGAGTGATGAATGATTCTTGGATGGATATTTGTTGGAAGGCTTCTATGACAGCCGCTCTTTCTGCGCGCGCTCTAGTTGGCCTAAGCACTCTATCGGACTTTTCAGCCAGTCTTCTCAGATTTGATCCCCTCGCGGTGGGCTCCAGTTGTGGGTGAGGAAATAGGAATGCAAACTCCGGAGAGTCACAAGAATATCTACCTCGAGAGGCGAGCTAGTAGAATCGTCCCTTAGGGGATGCTACTGAGTCAATCTCTCTAAATGATGAGAGGGATCAAGAGAAAGGCTCAAGTCGGAAGGTGCGCGAAGGCGCGCGGGAACGCGCGAGGCTGATGTGATGAACGCGCGGAAAGCGCGAGCCGTGCGGAAGGGTCGGAAAGCGCGCGGTACGTGCGCGATGGGAGAAGAGTTGCAGAGGATCGTAGGAGCTCCCTTTGGATGAGGAACGAGACTTCACAAGACAAAGAAGATGATAGACAATGACAGCAATGATATTAGCGCTCTAAGCGCGAGTAGACAGGAAACTGATAGTGAGTCCAAGTAAGGGAAAAGTAAGTAAGTCCGAAATCCTCTGAGTCTTCTAGATATGTAGGTCGCTACGCGAGCTCTCAGGGTATTGAGACGTAAGGGAAGCGGATAGGCTGCGCGGAAGCGCGCAAGGAAGTGGATAAGTATGTAACACTATGTAAAAGACCCTGGATGTGGTCAGAGACGGAGATGACAGTGAGAGTACGCACCAACGGTACCGGACAGACAGGACAGGACATGGGAGGATATGCCGAGGATAGCGCCGGTCTGCGGAAGGGCGCGGAAGGTTGCGTGCGTCGCGGAAGAGCGCGGAAGGTCGCGCGTGTTGCACGCGACTCTATTGGACTGTGCCTACATGAGGATAGTGATGAGGTCGATGTATATATCAGGGGATACGAGCCTGTAGGGATATTACTCCCTACACCGTCATCGTCGGAGAAGCGCCCTCCGCAGATTCTCGTCACACTCGTGGCCGACAAGGGTTTGCTGATGGACAGATTGATAGGCTTGGATTGAGCCATCTAGGCAACACTACTCCTCCAAAATCTTGTCCTGTGTCGTCTAAGTGGCGGAGACTCCGCGTGTTCGTAGAGGTACCACAGGCCCCAGCCTCCTGGAGGTTGAAAGCAATACAGCGACACTCACTAGACTTTGAACCCAATAATAGCGACCTTATCCCACAGATTACCGCCATCAGGAATGATGAAGTGGGGGTTGGCGCCATCAAGGATGGTGCTATTGATGATGAAGAAGCCGCCAATGATGCCACCATGGAGGACGAAGAGGAGATTGACGAGCTTTTTGCGTCGCAGGAAAGGACGTGATCTGTGTAAGCCTCTCGAGCCTCCATTCAACCCTCGCAAACCTCTATTCAACCCTCGCAAGCCTCTCTCTTCAACCCTCGCAAACCTCTCTCTTCAACCCTCGCAAACCTCTCTCTTCAACCCTCGCAAACCTCTCTTCAACCCTCGCAAACATCCATTCAACCTTCATCACATCCTCGCGAGCCTCCCTTCCGCGGCATGTACTAACCATCAGCATCTGCGCACGTGATCTTGTTGATTTGAGCGTTGGCATCGCGTGTTGCCTTCTATCTTACTCTTTGTCTCTTTACCGCTGTCTGAGATGTCTTCCCCCCGCCTCACAAAGTCACATTCTCGAGTACACTACGTGTTTGCCTGGGATTCGTGGTTATGAGATTAGAGATGACGAGGATAGATGGCCTGACAGAGAGGGATAACGAGTGTGTATTTTCTTCGTGGTTTGAATGTGTTCTTGTATCCCTTTCGCGGGCATGGCTTTTCTTTATGTTGTTAGTCACTGTCTCTGTACGCCTTTCACGTCAAATATATTGCCTTTCGCGCAATTGGATTGATGTTCACCAAATTCCAACATGTATTGCAAAAACATATACATCAACTATTTTAAACAGCGAGGGCGCACGGCCTCGCGTGGTTGGTTCCTACCCTCGCAAGCCTCTGGGAGCACGGAGACAATACACAAAGGAAAAGGCATGTACCTCTTGCGGCAATTACAGGGAGCCTCCGTGGAGAGGCATACCTCACAGGTGGGTTCCCTGCAACATAGAAACCCCACCTGAGAGACCGTGAGACGCGCGCTTAAGTGCTGCCAAGGGTGAAACGGTCAACCGCATTTGCTGAGCTTCCAGGACGATTACGCCACAATTGAACATACTATATGAGTTCGACCGTCGACGATGGAGACAGTCGTAACTTCAAAGGACACAACTGAGACTGTCACCAGCCTAGCACTTTCTTCATTTGATGGCTACATCAAGCTCTAGGCTCTCGAGTCCCACCAACTCCTCACTTCCTTCGACATTCAGAATCTTTTTACCCTTGTCCTCCCCGACTCGCGCCATTTGGCTTACACGGCATATAGTGCGTCCCCTCAAGTGGATTACAATATCTACACATGCAACATTCCACTTGATGCCCTCGCTCAGGCAGGTGTACGCACTCCCTGCAAATATCTACTGTCCGTGTGCTAACAATCCCTTGCAGACAAATGCATGCAAACAGTCAACCCTCAGTGATGTGCTAAATGTACACACCTCATTCCTTTACTCATGACACCACTCATACATCACTATATTGCAGTCTGATATAACTCGTCCTCCTGCCGGGCGCTACAGATCACCGATATCTACCATACCTATGGTACAGATATCTCTGCATACAGCAGACCCGCAGCAACCTATTTCCCTTCGCCTCCACAAACTTCTTTTCTTCTTTCCTCGTACAAATGCAGTGCACCCTGTCAAACCGCGTAATCCCCTACATGTAGGTCATGAGACTCGATGATGGCAATGCAGAATACAAGACAGTAGACGACACTCGACATCCGCTTCAGGCTGGGGTACCGCGGGATATTGACTCATCTGACGTCGATTCGCTTCAGGACGTGCATTGGTGCAAGGCGTTCCTGTTCTGTCATTCGTGTTGGTCTCATGGAAGACTGAGGATGCCTCCTCGATTACGCTTGGACACCTTCATACACTTCTCCAGGACGGCTCGACAAATGGCGGCCGTAGCGGTGCTCATGGTTGCGATTAATTTTGCGTGCACTCATCACTACTGTATACTTCATCGCTGACAATTTACACTTATATATCAATTGTACGCCATCTGCGATATTCGGCGCATCTGCTAAATCCCATCACAACATGAACTTGGATGATTTGGATTATCATCCTTTGGTGTGCTCATCCTAGCTGACGATATCCCGGCAAAATATCGATCTGGTCAAAATTGAAATGACCTCATTCTACATTAACCCTTTCACGAATTATCTTGGAGGTCACCTGCCCTACCCTGATTCAATGATGAACACACGCGCACCCCATTACTAGCCTCGGGGGGATCGTTTTGGCTTTCTACCGCTTCTGCGAATGACTCTAGGGCGATATGGTCAAGGACTCCGTCGTGAAGAAATTGATCACCGTACTGAAGCTTAGTGCGCTCTATTCACCTGGCCTTTCGTGCTTCTCATTCTTCGCCGTGGTCCTCTGCAAGAAATCTGTATCCGCTATATTGAAGTTGTCGCAAGTGTACATGGATCAGGTTGGAGTGGTATGGTGTTATCACTGAAGTTGGTGGTGCGTTGTTCACGGCGAGTAACTCAAGAAACCTTACTCATCAGCTACAACACGCAGATATGTGCAATGCCGTCTGTGCGTTCAAGAAGTGAATGTCAGCACGTTCAATGGTAGCCTGGAACTCCGGCTTGAGATGGCTGTTGGTGTTATTGGCTTGTGAGGTGACGGATGTAGCATGTAAAATGTGGCCTCTCCAGATTGGCCGGAGCGTCGCAATGCAGTGTGCACAGCCCAGCCAGTAATGGACAACATGCTGGGTAAATAGAAAAGATCTGATAGGGCTGGTCAATTCTAAAAAGTCGTCGTCAATATTAATGTCAACTTGAAGCTTACGGTCACCTCACGTAAATTACCTACGCGGAGCCTAAACCTTTCCTAATTTGTCCACATGCACCGCGCCAGCTAAACCTTCCCATGAGATAATTTCTACACCTTGTCGCACCTCGTCCTACTATCATTCCCTATAACATGCAAAGTTTTCAGCAAAACCTTTGTAGCTCCTCAGCAACATCACATTTTCTTTCGCAAATTTTCTCCGTCATAGACTTGTATCTCCTCTACATGGATCTGATTTTTACTGATTTTTAGGATGATGTGGTGTGATGTCGGAGCAAACCCGATAAAACTCAGGGTCTACTCTCTAATCTGCAACATTTTGTCACGTCCTGTCACAGTAATACGGGGGGGGGGGGGGGGCATATGCCGAGGAGGAGTCTAAATTACTTACACATCTCCCCTGTCCTGTGTCACGCTTTTGTACTTGTTGTTGATTCTACCACTGTAGCACCTCAGCGCAAGAGAGTAACCTTTATCGAATTGGTTTTCTGACATCCCTAGAAGGTGTTCATTGTGCTCTAGGTATATTTTTACAAATACCTTTGCAGGATCTTCGGGATCTGGTTGATTTGTGTTGGGCAAAGGTTTCAAAACACCACTATTTCATCCATCGCAGCTGCAATATTCCAAAATCTTTCATTCTACTCGTGCAAAACATCATTTATAGGTACTCTGTACATGCTTGAATTTTTTCGATGTCAGTTAAGCACGATGTTGAAGTGCTATGAACTTTTTGCATATTAGCAACCATGGACATATTACCGGGAATGATAGTAATCCTTGCCGTATGGAGACCTCAATCTTTCATTAGGGGAGCTCAGAGTAGCCCGCTGTCCACTGTTGCTTTCGCTTTCGCTGTTGTCCGAAACGAATTATTTTCCAGCGGGCGCAAAATAATTCAAATTAAACCGCATATACCAAATCGAGCTCATCGTTTATCACGCCCATCAGTAGTTCATCGTCCAAGCTTGTATATGGCTGGTAAATCCAAGAACCCCAAGATCTCACTACCGGAAATTCCGTGGAGCAAGGATGACCATTCACGAGTGTGGAAACTCATCGCGGAACTCAGTCAAAAAGCTAATTACAAGGTGTTGTTTGGAAAGAAAGACCAACACGAGGTGAGTAATACTTAGGCATTGGCACGGGTATGGGTAACCTGTGCGGGTTACGGGTACGGGTCCCTGACGGGTACGGGTGCGGGTACGAGTGTGGGGTACCCGTGGCAGGGTACCTGTACCCGTCAGGCTAAAAGTAGCCATGTCGCACCTGTCACATATATTGCACATATATTTGAAACTAACATATATTAGAAACTATACAGAATTAAAAAAACTTTATTTCGACCCCAAAAAAACTGACAGGCCGCCAGCGCATCTTTCGCAACCTCTCGCAAGCTTTGAAAGCCCCACTCCACCTCCATTCACCACAATGTTTCATAAGCGGGTCAAGAAACTCACCGAGAAGGCCGCGCAGGCTGTTGCGGAAGGCACGACAAAGCTAAAAAGGAAGGTTAGCACCGGTAGTCAAGAGCCTTCACTGGCCAAAAAAAAAACGAAGCACATACCTTCGAGTTCTGCATCTGAGTGAGAAGAAGCATCCCCTCCTCCCCGCACCATAAGTCGACAAGCTACTATCCAAATTGAACAGGATCAAAGTCAGCGAGCTACTGTACAAACGGAAGAGGAGGATGGCATACAGGATGCTATCAATGTGGACTCCGAGACGTCATCTGATGATGCCGAGACCTCAGAAGCTGAGCTCGGCAAGTTAATTATCCTGAGCATACCATTATGTTAATCAGTTTTTATTTCACAGACAAGCTAAAAAAAGGGTGGACATCACCGGTTTATGCGTTCTACGAGCCAATACCAAGCATTGAATATATTGGCGGGCGGCGCTCCCATGTATTCCAGTGCATGGGGAAGGGTTGCAAACAGCGCGTTGTCATGCATGAAATGAAGATCATACATTGACATTCAATAGGATAAGGGTATACTAGTCAAAAAGCTTTTGCTTTAGACTAATTACTCTATGTTGAGGCAAGAGAAGTAAAAAGTGGCAGAAAGCTCGCGTTTCATTTACTTCTGTTTACGTTTATCTTTGTTGACTTTCTTGCTTCTGTTTCTCTTGTTCTTTTTTATTTGTGCACATTATGTGAGCTTCAGCCACAATCTGAGCTTACATAACATGTAATTAACCCTAGGAGAAGTCATGTGACTCCAGAATTGAGTCATTTGATCTTGGACGATGTCACTCGATGTCATAACTCCACAACAATGTCATTTGATGTCATAGCTCCACAATGATATCATTCAGCTCCACTTTGCTCCACAAATGCTCCACACTGCTCCACAGTGATGTCATTTG